CGATCTATATCTAAATAGGACTAGGTGTCTTGACATGGCCCGCGAATTTCCTCACGTAGAAGTGTTAGGCATTGACCTCCAGCCTGGTCCCACGGAGGGAATCCCATCTAATTGTGCCTTTGCCATTCATGACATTGACAAGGGCCTCTCTCCATTCCATGGATTATTCGATCTGGTACATTGCCGTTTCTCGGGGTTTACCGTAGGTATCTCTCTCTGCTGGTGGTGCATAGTTAACAGAATTCGGTAGCTTAAAGATCATCAAGCTACCCTGAAAAATTCCATAGCGTGCTTGAAGCCCGATGGAATCGTGATCTTTATGGATCCTGTGCATATGCTTAAAGAAGATGGGAGCGTGTACTACGATCCGGCCACTTCTACATGAGGAAATTCGCGGGCCATGTCAAGACACCTAGTCCTATTTAGATATAGGTCATCAATGCGAATAACTGCACGATCACCATGCCCCAGAACCGGAACCTGGAGAGAGAATAAGATGACGGTCCAAATAAACAATTCGACTAGCAGGTTACCTAGATCCAGGATCCTCTTCGTATCTCCAAGAGATGGTGCTAATACCTTGGAAACCTTGGCTTGACAAGGCCGAGGGTATAGACCACCCATAGTAGCTTTAGGGGCTTCATGTTGAATGTCACTAAGTCAGGACCATGTCAGTTTCAGAGAGACTACATATATATAGTCCACAGTCTGTCATATTCACGGCTTTCTGTTTCTCTCAGCCAATAACCTTCTCTTTCCTCATAAATCTGACTCACCATGAGGCAGTACATAGCTATTATTGCCTGATTGGAGCGAATCGCCCAATGTTTTCTTGAAGTATTCTTCGAGGATACTGAGCATTTCAAGGTATAGCAGAGGAGGGTCTGGAGTGCGCCATATATACTCTACCCCCGATTAGGTTGAGATCAAAATCGCAGGCACCATGCTCCCGTGATCTTGAGTGCCCTATCGACTAGTCTCTATGGCTATTGAGTCGCAGTCATCGGCGAATTTGAATATGAGACTATATCAGGCAGAGCCTTTCATCAGTATAGAGACAATAATGGCAGACTCTTCAGTCGCGCCAACCTATAAAAGGCCTGACATAATTGGATGAGAATTGTTATACTTGGAGTACATCTTCTAGCATATCATATCCCTTTATGGCGAACAATGATACCATGTCGGAGGTAAGAGCAGTACGAATAGCGTCATTACGGTTTCTCCACTCATTCTTGTCATTGAAAACCTTCACAACTTACATAGTATCCTCACGGCCCTCATTTTCAGTCAAAGATTCTGCAGAGACGGCACGATTGAAACGGATAGGTGAACTGTGGTATAAAAGTGCACATGTAAGTGGAATCGATATCGCATGACTGAGGCTAAATACCTCTGCAGAAAATACACTGGCATCTTGACAAGCCCCTGAAAGCGAGCGGTCGCTCGGATAAAGACATAGAAATTCTACATAAAAAGGTCGATGAGGGTAAGTGTACCTAGAATTTGTGATTCTCCTCACTGAATCTCATAAGAATTTAACCAATTGAAACACCGAGCGAGAATTCAAATCAGAGTGGTGTGGGCACAGGCCCCGAAAATTGGGCAAGATGCAGTCCGTAACGAAGCCTTGACAATACCAAATCGAGATCACGACCCATATGATGATACTGAATTTCAGTTGATGAAGGTTTTCAATGACAAGAAT